CAACTCAGTGAGGCTCTCTTTTAAGGTACTATAACGTCAAAAAATATAAACAAATGACAACTCTTCTGTGAAAGCGGGAAGGAGTTTATACTTGCTCTTTGGCATTTTCTGGGGGTAATTAAAACACTACAAACACACATTTTTATATTCTATAAACTTATATATATCGATCATCAAATATTGCTTGTGCAAAGTTCAACTATCTGGAGATGTAATTATTTCACAAATGGCATTGGTAGTGATTTTTGAACTTTTATTCAAATTTTTGCAATAAACTCTGGACACTTAAACGAAACCTAGGGCAGTTTAAGGTTGGACTGGGACACCGGGATAAATAGTCTAAAACCAAGACGTCTAGCAGCCCTATAAATGAGGCTAAATTACTAGGTGTATATGTATGTAGCATGTTGGTGAACATGCTCGCACACACGTTCGTCGTGTGTGGCCACTGGAACGCACGAACATAGACTCCACGTCGACACATAAACACACAAACGCGTATTGGCTAGCTTAACATACGTAAAAATATACGTACATACATATGTACCCACGTATGGCTGCATAGTGGAGCCGCAAGCAAAGCGAAAATAAAAGTGAAGAAAACAAAAACCAAATCACTTCATCTCATAATCAGGTAACAAAGTAGTGCCCCGTGAAATATGCAATGCCAGAATTTCCAGAATTCTTCATAGCTGAATCTTTTAACGTACCTAGAATCGCGGTGACAAGAACTGGTAACATTTTTTGGTAATCAAATTTTCCGGTTACAAAATCTTCAGAATAGACCTGTTAAAGGCAAATTATATACAAATACGTATTGTTTTTGATGTTGTTGTCACGTTTTTAGTTTCATCGAGTTTCAAATCACTCATAAGATTACAATCGACGTTTGAAGTCTGCGTAAAACTGTAGATCCCTCCCCTTTGTGTAACAATATCAACGCACGCCACAAATCGGAGGAGAAGCTCGGCCAAACACTAGAATATTGTATAAGCGCCAATCTATTATTATTAATGCTTACTGTAAATTATAATTTGTTGATGTAATTTCATCGAAAACCGCTGATCTTACGAAAAACAGTGATATAATCAGGGCTATCACTGAACCCATCGTAGGTTCGATTTTCGTGAAATCTACGAAAGTGCTATTCCTGAATCCACATTGTTATTTGAAATTTGAAATTCGTAGAGAGCCGACATTGAATCCGTTCGTAATGAAGATTCATACAGATACTCTACGATGGGTAACCAAAATTTAAAATCGCTTAATCTTGAAAATAATACAAAAAAGCTGCATTATTGCACAGTATATACAGTAATAAACCTTTTTGAGTACTCCTCGGGGGTAAAATCTGATCAGGGTTGATAATGAGAAGGATCATGAATTTTGTTGATTCAGAGTTGTATACAAAATTATTCTGGTATGAAAGGGAGCAAAAACCGGACTATGGCAGAGTGGCACAAGTCATGACTGTGTAATAGTGCCCGAAACTATTGCAAAAGTGTAAAAACATTGCAAATTTTTGTCTATTATTATAGATACTAGTATAGATTATCATAGTTCAGTGTATAATTTGTTATATTACACCGCACATGATAATGAACTGTTAAATGTTGAAAACGCTTGTAACTTGTAGATCACTCAAACTTGGGTGTGCTTAATGGCTGGGCGGATGTGCTGGCAGTCATTGGGATCTGTATAGCTATACAAACCTTGTTTTTTTTTTAATAAAGACTTAAATATATTCGGAAATTTAGAATTTGGCTTGATAAATTCACAAAATTTACGGTTTTCAGAAATAATTTAATATTACAATGGACTTTTTTTATTTTAAACTTACATTTAAGAAAACTCCATTCAATGCTATAATTACGATTTGAGTTTTCCAGTTTATAAAACACAAGCGTTATTTATGTACTTAAGGGCCGGTCACTCAATGTCTGGTTAACACTGTTACTGTTACGTGAAGCAAAACTGGAATCGAGTTGACGATATCGCACAAACGATCTAACAATTTTTGATTTTTATGAAGCAAGACAATCTCGACACGATATCGTTCAGACGATTGTCGTCATACGTGATTCATGCCCTGTAAATTTCTACTCAACATGGTCGTGCTTTAACGCGGCTATTGTGAGTAGGTCATTAGCAAGCATTATTGCATGCAACTCTGTAAGAGAAATATAGCTAAAAATTACTGTTGATTTTTTAGAATATTTTTGTGGAGGGTGTTGCGAAGTTTCTTGCATATAACACACGAACAAAACTTACTTTTTTATATGGAAGACGGAACATCCTCCACATAAAAAAAAAATTCTAAAAAATCAATGGTATTTTTAGCGACTTGAAGCTGGCACTTTATTATACTAAAATAAGCTATAAAACTCGAAATCTCTAGGAAATCTAGTTAAAAAAATCGAAACATCGTTAAAACTTTTTTTAACTTTAATTACTTTTTGTGAACTTTGTGCAAGCTTTGACATTTTTATCTATGTGGTATCTGATATACATAGATCGACCCATATTTTAAATGAAAATTATTAACAATAAATAAATATAAGTCCAACAGCATCATTTTGAATTATGCTGCTATTATTTTGACCGCAAATGTGTCTCTTACTTTGTTTTTATGGTTTTGTGAATTATATGTATACATACGTACATACATATTTTTGTATAAATTAAAGTGTTGTCGTGGAATAAAGGAAATGTATCATAACTTTATACCTAATCTGGACATTACTTCGTTGAAATGGATCACCTTTGTTAATATATGGTTCGTAGTTGGGCTTTTCTCATTTGTCCCGTTAAAATTTTGTAAATCCCGTATTTTTAGGACAAATTATTCGTTTGTCGCGTATGACTGGAAAAAAAATCTGGCAACACTATCCCATCTTGCTTGGTGCATTGCACCAGGCGGGCGAATTTTAAACTTTTTTCCTACATCTTTTAAGTTGAGAAAAACTCATTTGAGGGCTGAGTATTTGGATTTCTTGGAACTAACTATGATTTTTTAAAGAATGAAGCGGAAAAAATTTTAAAATTCGCCCCCCGTGGTGCAATGCACCAAGCGAGGTGGATGTCTCGAGCCATATGTAGCGTAAAAATATTTTTGTTCCGACCACAATATACCCTTGATTAAGAACAAAAGCTTGCACTATCTGATGAATGCGTTTTTATAATTCGCTTTTACGTGAATGGTTTATGTGTCCCAATGCCTCAGCAGCTGCCGTAGAGGATCTAAATTTAAAAAAAAAAATGTTAAATTGTATAAAGTCCCAGATCCGGTTTCATCTCAGGAACCAGTAACGAAATTGAGTAAGCATTTATGGTATCTTTCTTAAAAAGCGTCAGCCTTGGTTTTTTAAAATGGAAAATGAGACGCCAGTACAAGAAAAAATATGGTAAAAGCACTAGTAAAAGAATACAGAGGTGGATCTAAAAAGAAATTCACAGTCGATGACGACGGCGTACAAACACTAGCGGGTTTAGCGACAGCTATATTTTTGAAATCAATTTGCAAATAATAATTATAGCTTTACTTTTCAGACAAATCAATATTTTTTTTTATTTCTCGCGAGAGTTTACCTTATTTTCAAGACTATAGATCGATCCAGCTTTCTTTTTCTTTTCTTACCTTTAAACTAACCTATCTAAATCTTTTTAAAAAGTTTTGTCGACCGATACTCAAAATCCTCTTATGTATATATCATGATTAAGTTATCAAATCGAACTGAACTTCAAGGCAAAAAGCATTTTTAAATTTAAAAATGTTATAAGAAGTTAGGCATATGCCGGATAACCGAATACACTGTAAAAAATAAGAGCCGGTTTCGGATATTCGATCGGTAGACTGCTGTCCCTAATGAATTCTACATTACTATTGGACTGGGTTTAGGGAACTTATTCCAATTTATATATCAATTACCATGGAAAAAATAGTTCAATCGTGTGAAAAATACCGAACTCTAGCGACAAGAAAAAAATAGCAATTTATAAACTATAAAGGGATTGATGGAAGCAAAGTTTCAAATAATTTCCAAATTTGTTTAAACTGACAGGAGGTATTTCTGTACATCGCCTACTTCAGTGAACTCAGTGATAGTGTTGAAAATAGAAATAGTTTATTGCCCTTTAATGCGGAAAAGATTCTTTTTATTATGGGAAATACATAATTTTTTAACTTTCATTATTAAAGTTGATAAATAATAACATTATTAAACTTGATAATAACACGCAAAAAAGTCCAAGTTCGGGAGGAGCCGAACATTAAATACTCGGCGTAAGTATTAAATATAGTTTTTTCACTTTTCCGAAAACTACCACTACATAGTAGAAGGGGTTTTTTTACCTCTATTTCAAACACCTTCGATAGAACGTTCAGTCAGACATAATGAGATAAACTAATATTGGTATAAGTTGGCGGTACCACGCCCATTTTCCAAGCTTCGATTATAATCTTACTTCTTTGTTAGTATCAATTTTGAGTAAACTAGCGTCCTTAAATTTCGAAATATCGAAGTTACAAGCATTTCTGAAACTTACCGTAATATGAAAAGTTCGATTTCAATAATTTTCAACGTTTTGCTTTTATGTGGCAAGCACAATAATCATACCGAGCTTGGTACAAATTTATCAGAGATTACCGAGATACACACATGTGGGCAGTGCCACGCCCACGCCGCCGCCGCCGAATATTTTTGAAGTTGACCACGCCGCCGCCGCAAAGCCTGTCGGCGTGAACCTCTAGTGCACAGACTGACGGACAGACAGTCACCGCTTAATTTCTTTTTTCATTCTGATCATTTATGTATACATTTGTCTATATCTATCTCGATTCGTTTTGGCTGTTACAAACAACCGTTATGTGAACAAAGTTATAATACTCTTGTGCTCAAGTGCGCTCGGGTACAAAATTACAATAAACATTTTTTCCAGAAAGAGATTTTCAAACTAAAATTTCCACAATAAAAATCCTTACACCTTTCTAAGGTACTTACTCGATGTCAAAAGTTGTGCTAAGGTACTGTTATTTAGCATAGGATCGCTTGTGGCTGATTGCAACTGTGACGAGACCATCAAGCTACTACCTGTCGCACTGTTCGTCTTATTTGTTCCGTTTGGCCCAACAATCGTATGCTGATGTATAGAATTGCTGCGCGAGCGCGGTTTATTGTTTTTAGCTTGATACTTTGGAACAGCAAAATTATCGTGACTTGAACGTGACTCTAGTTTCTGAAGTGTCACATTCAGTGGTAAGCTGTTCGATCTAAACATCTCCCGAGGCAACATATTAACCACTGCCGGCTGTTGCTGTTGAGTGAGTTGCTGCATATGATGTTGCTGCGTGGACAAAATATGCTGAGTAGATTGATGCTGCTGCTGCTGTTGTGGTTGTTGATGCTGATGACTAGACGACGAGGGCGACAATTGGCATTGTGCTTGTACCTGTAATTGTAAAGGGCTTGGCAACGTAGTCACCTGACAGCCTAAATTCAATGGCAGCGATTGTTGATGTAAGTGTTGTGCAGTAGACGACTGATCGTGCATGTATGGTGAATTCGTGTTAACGCGCATGTTTATATAGCCACCAGTGGAAGCAGATTTTTTGAAACTACTCACGCTTGGATAGGGCTTATAAGAGTTTGAGCTGTTGTTGCTACTTAAGTTGGCGTTGACAGCATACACCTCAGGTGAAGTATTTAAATTATACATGGATAGCATATCAGTGGACGGTGGTTCAGTTTTCACCGCCTGCAAAAGGATCGAAGAGTTGCCTGTATGTGCTGAATTGGTGGTATTGATTTGCGTTGCGTTGGGCATGCAGTTAGGGTTTGTCTGTATGATGGCATAGCCCTTGGGCTTTGCATTTGCCATCGAAACATTAAGCAAATTATTGTTGATATTGATACCACTTCCAGTCGAAGGGGAGATATCAACGTTGCCAAAGCCACCATACGCTGTACTACTAGCAACCTCACCAGAGCCGCTTATTACTGTTACAGGCGTTGTATACTGTGTGGGCGATGTTTGCATTTGTTGATGCTGCTGATGAAAGGCCACCGTCTGGTGCTGCAAAGGGGTGCAAGGTAAAGCTGGCTGAAGATGTTGGCTTTGTTGGCTTTTTTGATGCTCTGCCAGCATTTGCTGATATACCGTAGTCTGATGCAAAGTGGGTTGAGCTTTGTCATAGTTGTGGGGTTCCCTTCTGTAAAAATAAAAATCCTAAGAAAAACTTACAAACAGGTATTGATAGAAATTTTGTTATACCTAAATGGCCTCTGGGAATTTTTTGAAATTCGTCCTTTCATCACACTTTTACTCGGAAATTCATTGCTTGGTGATCTGTTACTCGAAGCTCCATCGCTTGAAGTCGGAAAATGTTTCGAATGCATTCGCATTGATGGCGAGGCTGATGGTACAGGGGCACATGATCCCACACCATCATTTGGCACTGTTGAAGAACGCTCTTCAGCCATTATAGCATCCACAGAATTTATTGTTTGCGATTGATTTGTTCCTGAGGCATTTATTAATTGTCCGCTACTATTTTCTCGCGATATTGGAGCAGGGTAACGTTGTCCCATCTCCGACTGAAATTGTAGCGAATCAAGCGGTGCATTCAAGTCCAACATATTGGCGTCGTCGTTTACAGGTAGATCATTTGAAGTGTTGCTTACAACACCAACAATATTGTTCGAGTCTAGCTGCTCGGGGCCTATGGATGCATTGATTAATAAGTTATCGCAAGTGAAAAATTAATAAGTTATAAATACCCATGATCGCTGAGAAGTTGTATTCAGCATTTTTAAGCATTTCATCAGAACCCTCCTCAGGCACGGGTGGAAGACGTGTCGGTTGAAGCAGTTCTGCAAAAAATAAGGCTTTGTGATTGATAAATGGATGGTTTTAGTATGTATTTGAGCTGAATATGCTTACCATCAATTGTCAGATCAATATCATCAATATTAGGCTGCAGAGAGCCAAGACCAGGTTGTATGAAATCGGCTATACCAGCACCACGCGCTATCTCTCGGGGATCTGGAAACGGAAACGGTCCGTTTATGGATGAAAAGAGCGTATCATTTGTCCAATCGTCGGGTAGCATTAGTGACCGATCATTCAGCGGAGACCATTCTAAGAAGTCGAATTCGCTTTTCTATAAAAAAAAAAATAATATTAATTATTGATAAATTGTCACAAGTTCGGGGCGTTTATTTGCAGTGTTGCAGATTCTCTTTTATATACTACTAATCTTTAGGAAAATAGTGTAGTGGTTCACTTTTATACTTGTTTATCTATCACTCTTGTAGTTTAAAAATATAATTCTTTTATTGTATTTTGTCTACACATCGTCCTGCCCAAAATTAATTTGTTTTATTGAAACCTTTTGGTCACAATTCACGTTTACGATTTTCATTGGCACATTTATCTGCGAAGATTATGGTTTGGTGGCCATTTGCCACTTTAAATAACCTAACGAAAGTGTTATGTCCGTGAAGAAGTTCTTGAAATTCTCCAATTGTGCAACATTTCATAGCACGGTTAATCGCAAAAATAAATAAATTTGAAGAACTATTTTCTCTTCACTCGCTGGCGGCAACAATGATCCGGTTCTATAGTGAATCTGCCCTAGAAGCTTTATAGTATAATTGGTGGCGATTTCAAAATAGGTGCGTAGCATTGTTCCACATAAATGCAATATACAAACACACAGGGGCGGCGAAACGCCCTGTGCCCGGGTGGGTACTTCTGCTGGCGAAGGGTACCTATTAAGGCATCTAGTACCGGGATTCGGAGTCCCGAGCACTTTTTTGAGTCCCGAAATCCCGGGATCAAGCCCTCGGGATCCCGGGACCCCGGGATATAATTTAATTTACGACCAAATTAAAATAAAAAAAATCAGAATTATAAAATAGCAACCCTACAAATAATCAAATAATTAGGGAGTTCACAAGGTGTTGTATACTGTCGTACTGTGGTATGTCATAAACTTTAAACGGCTAAAACTATATTTAAGGAATTCGCAAGCTAACATAAAAGTTTTATTATGAAATTTCACACAATAAAAAAATAGTTGGTGGTGATTTCAAGTCCTCTAAACATTTATTTAGCCGTTAAAAACTTTACAACATACAACAATACGACAAGTACGACACCTTGTGAACCACCCAAATATATTACAATTCTAACACTACTTTTATTCTATACTAGCAGACCCTGCGAACTTCGTCCCGCCCAAAATTAGATTTTTAATTTAAACATTTTGGTCCAACAGTTTCTCCAACAATCTACATTTAGGATTTGTACTGGCACATTCATCGACTAAGACTATGGTTTGGTGGTCGTTTGCCGCCATAAATAACTGAACGAAAGTATTATGTCCACGAGAAGTTCCCTTGTGGCAACAATGATACGGATCTATAGTGAATGTGCCCTAGAACAGAGCTTCTTAAAGCGGGTTCCGTAGAAAAGTCACCGGGGTTTCGCGAAATTATTTTGGTATGAATAAGCACGGCGGTCGCTTTGGGTTGCACACAGAAAGAAAAGTTCTATAAACAGCTTGGCCGAGACACAATTATCTATTTTCAAGTATACATATGTACTCGTAGTTGGTACCTATGATTGTCGTACTGTGTGCCATACCTGCAAAAAAGCGTTGAGCTTGCGCTTGACAGCTTGTTTTTTTTCTAACTGGTAAGTGTTGTTGGCCGCTGTAGCCAATAGTTATATACAAGTTTCTACAAGGAACGCGACGATTTGCCAAATGATATGTAAAATTTCTTAACTGGGCACTTGGTAAATCACCTGAAATCTTTGTCAGATTATTTTTCGGATGGTAGTAGGTAATATCGGTTTGGTAACAAATCCATTTCCGAAGCATTCATAGATCTTCAGAGAACTTCGACATTGAGATACACATTTGAATCTGTGTCTCTGAAAAAATTTTGGGTTAGTGTTAACAGTAAATATCATGAAGTCGCCAAAAAGGCCATCTTACCTTCTCTTCCTTCTGTCATAATTAACTCTGTCAACAGGGTTTTCAGCTTACACTTATACAAAAAACAAATTCAAGTCGAAATTTGATGCAACCCCAGGAATGCGCATACAGCTTTCAGATATAATATCGAACAACTATTTTATACAATATTTTTATTCAAATATAAATTGCACTGCCTTTGATTTTTTGTAATTTGATGTGGGGTTCCATAAAATGAATGGTGTTTAGTAAGGGTTCCATCAGCTTAAAAGTTTAAGAACCCCTGCCCTATATCTTATCTTATAGTTTCAAAATGGATGCGTATCCTTGTTTAACAGAAATACAATATACATATATAGACTGAGATGAAATACCTTAAAAGCTAGTTCCGCGAAAGTAATTTAAGTGAAAAATTATTTTTTTCTATCAGGTTCTATATTAAATTCAATTAAAAAAATTAATTTTCATTAAATTGCTTTCATGAAACTGGCTTTTAAGGTATTTCGGCAGGTGGTGATTTGAGATTTACCACTGCACAATTCAACGTTGGTTTCTTCGAATGAAGCTTTAACGCATAATAATATTGGCAAATCACATCCATTGGGCCAATCGAGAGTTCGATATACTCAATTGTGCAACAGGTCGATTTAGTCTGACATTTACGGCACCTTTTCTCACTTGTCGATTTTTAGTAATAACTCGACCTCAGCATCACCTCACAGCTCTTTTTTGCAATTGGACTGCCTTTACCGTTTCCAATACATGTTTTGAATATTCATCAAATCGGATCATAAAAAAAGATTTTAAGTAATAACTCAACTCCAGCGCCAACTGGCGGGTTAAATTTTGAAACTAAACTATCCAGAGACCCACTCAAACAAACAGACAAGACTTTGTTAAAATTCCTCCAGCCATTTAGGATTTCACAAATATACCGACAGAAGAATTATATGCACCAGGAGTTCTTAAACTCTTAAGAAGATGGAACCCTTACTAAACGATTTTTATTTTACGGAACCCCACATCAAATTACTAAAAATCAAAGGCAGTGCAATTTAAATATGCATAAAAACTTTTACTAGAAATAGTAAACATACTTTAAATTTTAATGTAAAGAATGAAATTGTTTCGCTGTTATTAATTATTGTATAAAATAGTAGTTCGTTATAACGTCTGAATGCTGTATGCGCATTTCTGTAGTAGCATCTAATTTCGACCTGAATTACGTTGTGACAGGAGGAAGCAAAGTTAAGGTGGCCTTTTTAGCGATTTAATGATATTTACTCTTAACACTAACACAAAACTCTTTCAGAGACACAGATTCAAAAATTTGGATTTTTTACCAAACCTATATTACTACTACCGAAAAATAATCTGACAAATATTTCAGGTGATTTTCCAAGTGCCCAGTAATGACATTTCACATTTCATTTGGCAATTTATCGCGTTCCTTGTAGAGCTGCAAAACTATCGGTGGTTGGGCCATTCGATATTTTCGATAGTTTTGGGCATCACCATTCGATAGTATCGATACTATCGGTAAGAGAAAAAATATGGGATCCTTATTACGGCACTATTTATATATAAAAAATCATATCTAAACAATCAGAGGTATGGAAGATATACCTTATATAGCACCAATCTAAGTGATTTTCACTACTGTGTGATCGGTACGTAAACCGGTAACACAATTTAATGGGTTTAGCTTCCTACAAAAAGGAGATACATATATCGCAAAAACTGGTAACTGAACAATCAGTGGTACAAAAGATTATGATTATACAGTCCAAATAAAGGAGTTTTACAGTAAAACCCCATATCTGAACAATCAGTTGTATGGGGGCAATAAACAGGTTATAGTGACCCGATCTTTGTTAATTTTATTGTAAACTTTCTGTTGATAATGAGTGAAAATAGTGCGAAATTTCATGTTTCGAGCTGCATAGATGGAGTAGTTATAACAAAAAATCGCATATCTGAACAATCAGTTGTATGGGAGCTATATGTAAAAGTGACCCGATCTTTGTTATTTTCACTGTATATTCTGTTGTTAATGGGTGGAAGTATTGCAAAATTTCATGTTTCGAGCTGCATAGATAGAGTAGTTATAACGAAAATTCTCATAACTGAACAACCAGTTGTATGGGAGACAGTGGCGTAGCCAGGGAGGGAAGCATTTTGGGGGAGGCATTTGGGGGGATAGATCCCCCCGTCATCAGTGAAATGAAACTTTTTTATTTTTGAATTACTAACACAATACTATTTTACCCTTCCGATTTATATTTTTTTTTATTTCAGACTGATGACAAATTATCTTTTAATGAATATTTGAATATTTGCGAAATACACAAGGCCATTTTGCTTAGTTCCCTACAGTGTTAGGAAATAATCTATAATCTATACAAAAACTGTACTCCTCGACTGTAAATTGTATCGACTTTTTAATTTGCTAATATATGCATGCATACATAGATTCCCTTCAAGACCAATGCTTTGATGGTATTCACGGGAAAGTTTATGTAGGTACATTTACATATTTTACACTTTTAACATAAATGTCAAGGCAGATATTTTAAGATACACTTCTTAACAAACAAGTTTTTTAAAGTTATTATGAATGGATAAAAGAGACATCTTCTTTGAATTCAGTACTAAAACTTGACATTTCAAGTTAAAAAAATCGACGAACATACTTAGATAATATGGAAGAAAATTACCAACATCGTCAAAAATATGCCTTGATGTATATGCCTTGAAATATGCCTATATGTAGTTCACAGGTACTTTAAATTTGCACTTTATTAGACTAAAATTGAATGAGCTAAAAAACTGCAAAATATTAAGAGATAAAATTGAAATAGAAAGTTCAAAATTTTTACGAAAGTTTGTCGATTTTTTTTAGTGTTGTTCAGAGATTAAACTTATTTTCATTTAGTGTTTGTTAAGGAATAAACTATATTTTTATAAACAAATAATTCAAATTAAAATATAATAAAATAAATAGTCAAATTTAGTCAATATGTGAGTGTCGTAAAGTTATGATATTTAAGAACATCTCTTTCTTAATTAACGATGACACTGTTTTTCTATATGAAGCTGATTTCAACATTTTGTTTTAATAAAATTTAGTATCGAAAATATTCGTTCAAACCTTGCCTAGGAATGTGATATAATGGTTC